GTCTCTGCTGCCGTGCGTGCCGCCTTTTGATATTCAGTCAAAGGGACCTGCTGGGGTGGGTGCAAGAAATGTTCTTGCGCCCGTGATTTTCTCGGCTTTTGACGCGCGACCGTGTCCCAAAGGGTCGAAGACTCTGACTGTGTGGGCAACTGCAAGGCCTCAAACCGATTAGACGACCGCAAGGGTGGCCATTCCTTGTCAAGGCCTCCTACCCTCTTCTCCTCTTCGGTTTCTACTGTAGATACTACCTCTTCCTCCTCAAACCCACTGCTGTTGTTGTCTTGTGGTTCAAGGGCGAGGCGCAAATCCGCTTTTCTTTTCTTTCTCTCCTCCTCTTTTTGTTTCCTTTCTTTTTCTATCTTTTCTTCCTTTCGCTTCTGCCACCTCCTGTTCCTGCATGTCCATGGCCAACCCCTCATCATCGAGTTCTTGTTGCAACTGCTCTGAAGGCTTTCTACGGTAAAGGTACTCCATGTTTTCGTCAGGTCTCGGGGCAGCACGTGCTCCTTTTGGCATCTCAAACCGTCCCCCTCTGGTGGGCACCCCAACAAATCGTTGTTTTTCTTCGAATGACAAATTTGCCATAAAAGACTGCATCCGTGACATGAAATTTCCTCCTCCCGAGGCTGAGTGACAGGCTCAGATNAAGGTACTCCATGTTTTCGTCAGGTCTCGGGGCAGCACGTGCTCCTTTTGGCATCTCAAACCGTCCCCCTCTGGTGGGCACCCCAACAAATCGTTGTTTTTCTTCGAATGACAAATTTGCCATAAAAGACTGCATCCGTGACATGAAATTTCCTCCTCCCGAGGCTGAGTGACAGGCTCAGATCCCTTGCCCTTTCTCACCTCCTCAGAACCACCAGAGACCTCCTCCTTCTCTCCGTCATACTTGACTACTTGCACGACAGACGACACCTTCCCTTCCTTGACCTTGGCCTTTGCTTTGCCTTTGTTGGCTGAAGCTGCCACCGGAGCTACGTTGGTATACGGAGGAATCGACGGAGCGGAAATCGTCGGATTATTTTCAGACCCAGACATCTGCTGTATCATATCTTTTGGGTCCGCCCCCTTTATGCTAAACCTCCGGTCCATCTCATGGATATCCTCCTCCCTACTCGCCTGGGGTGGGTCACTGCCCATGTTTCCTCCTTTTCCCCTTCCGTCTCCTTGTTCAACCTTTCCTCCTTTGTGCCCTTCTATCTTCCCTTCTTTGTGCCCATCTTTTATTCCTCCTTTTTGCCCTTCTTTCTGTTTTTGGTTGTATCTTTCTTCTGACACGTCGATCGAACCCTCCTCCGATTCCACCCCCCACGCGTCCCCTCGGGAGCGTGTGAGCGTACCCTTCCCCCCATCCCCTCTGCTCACAGCAGTTGTGCTCGCATCCATCCTCCTCTTTTCCCTGCCCTCTACACTACGCCGCGTCATATCGCGCGTTGTCCTCCTCAAAGTCATTCCATGACCCTTCGGTGAGTCCCTCTTCCCACATTTTTCCTCCTTGTCTTTCTCACCTTTTTGCCTCGGTGTATTGGTCATCGCAACCACACCACACCACAGCGCAAGACGACCAGTACAAGCCCCTCCTTCGGTGCCAGTATCGGGGGATCGGGGTGCGCTACCCACCGCGTACGTATTTGTGTTGAATGCCGAGGTTCTTGTCGTGGTAATGTTTTAAGTCCAGAAGAGCTGCGATCAAAGTATCGTGTTATTAGAAGTTCTGACCATATCGGGACAACATGGGAGAAGACTCCGGGCGGGTCAGACTGACCACTTGGGGGTGTCTCTTCGTCCACACACATGTCCACAGTTTTCCAAAATCCTACTCTTAACCCAACTCTGCTGACAGTCCCTACTTGCATTCCGAGAATCTAAGATTCTATCCAATCCTCCTCTCAAAAGACCTGTCGAATCTCTCAACTTATTTCCCTTATATATACCAATCCGCCTCACAACTTCCCGATAGTTCAGTATCCTTTCAAACATGTCCCGCTCTTTTCCACCTGCTCTCTTTCCAAGTAGNAATCCTATCAAAAGATCTGTCGAATCTCTCAAACTTATTTCCCGATGAACATACAAATCCGCCTCACAACTTACCGATAGTTCAGTATCCTTTCAAACATGTCCCGCTCTTTTCCACCTGCTCTCTTTCCAAGTAGTACGCTTGGCTGCACTCAGTTTACACCAGCCCTGTCCCATACCACACTATAAACCGTAGTTACCCGGTAATTCCACAGTTCCAAGGAAAGCGGGCCGATTGCACCACACTTGCTACATGGTGTTCCACCCTTGTCTATATTGTATTTACGCAATGCATCGGCAGACAACTTTCTCTCCTTCAAGATGATCGGTGAAGACAACATAACGCGGGGTGGATCGAACCAGCAACTTGTGCCTACAAAATCTAAAGAATGACCGCCACGCTTCATGTTGAAACATCTCTGGCTTCATTTCGAAATTCTATGAATCTACAGTGGGGGCGGAAACAATGGTGGCAACACCACCCACGCGGCCGATAAGAGCACACTTATACTCTGCGGTCTCCCCCACGCAAAAAGCAGAAACTGCGAGTAATGGAGTGTTTGCGAAAGAGTGAATTGGTTTTGGTCTTGCGGACCACACGAAAGACTGAAACCAAAACCGAATTCGGTCTTGAAAGGGTATGCGAAGAGCAGATCGAGTACTGCGATCAATTTTCGGGGCGAAAATCCTGATGGGTACCACATGAAACGCTCACGGACCCCCGTGATGGACACATGAATATTTTCCAACTCTCTGGCACCCTTACAGAGAGCAACAGCGACCCTACACCCACTCCACACACAGGAACAGCAGCTCCCACGACGTACAGCATTAGTTGAGCATGGCAGAAAACACAAGTTCGCATCAAGCATCCCGAACTCCATGAAGCCCTCCTCATTCTCTGCCTCGCTGTCTCCGTCCGCAGCCCCGTCCTCTCCGTACTCGAGGAGCACCTCCGGATGCTTCACAGCTTCGCTGAAGAGGAGGTGGAAACAGATGCTTGTCTCCCAGTAACTGAGCTCCACCATGTCCGCCGCGTGCATCGCACCAGCCCTCTGGTGAAGAGCCGTCTGCCTCACGGTCTTCTGGTACCCCGACGGAGTCAACATGACGCTTGCACGGGCGTAATCGCGCAATGCCTTCGCAAGTTCGCGTGCTGCTGGTGCTTCGGGATAAAAGGAAACTTGCCAGAAGCTTGCCCACAAAGAGCAAACTGAGCCAAGACCAAAATGGTCTTTTTCTCTGGTCTTTGAGGGCAAAGCCCGAAGACCAAAATCGGACCCCGCCGTCGGATAAGGCTATGCGGGAGAAAAAAAAAAACAAAGTCAAGCTATTTCACTCTTTCGCGAACACCCTAATGTCTTCCATTACCAATCGTTCGGTGGCAAGTTTTTGGTCAGCTAAGTTTTTATGTTCCATAGCAGCAACAACATATATACGAAGTATAGAATCATTTCATGCTAAGCGCGCAATTCTTTTCAGCAGAGATCGGCGTGTCGTGTACTCTGTAGACACCGGCTGGTACATAGTTTTCGCGGCAAGGCATGAACATTCTCGGGCTTGGACAACCTCGCCTGCAACCAAGCACAGATGCAAGTGTCCCTTAACTGGGTTTGGGCCGGCGTTTCCGAACCCTGCGTGACCTGGGAGGTTGGCGACGGTGCCCTCGACCGGGTTACGCAAGTTGTACAACGCCCAGGGGTTACAGGTCACTTCAACCCCCCCGTAACCGTACCCACTGGCCACCTGTGTTACTCTGCCGTCCCCCCCACGCAAAAAGCAGAAACTGAGTAATGTCTTCCATCACCAATCGTTCAATGGCAAGTTTTTTGTTAGCTAAGCTTTTTTGTTCCACAGCAGCAACAACATATATACGAAGTATAGAATTATTTACTGCTGAGCGCGCAAGCAATTCTTTTCAGCAAAGATTTTTTATGTACTAGTACCATTTTCCACCACTATAGTTATATATATATATTTAGGAGACAGACGTACGTACGTACGTGTTGTCGTAATGACGTTTACAGAGATAGGCAGCGTATGTATAAAGTATATCATCGCTTACTTCCTCTCTCTTTTTCTCAGTCTTTGCTTTGCCCCCCGATCGTTGCCGTGCGTGATTCTACGCAACAATACATATAGATCAAATAGAGTAGGCCCATGTCTATGCTGCTTCCGGCACCACATCATGATCAGAAGATACAGATGGCGCTCGCACTCAAGGACTTGGCAGCAAAGAAATAAATGCGGCCTCGAAAAACATTAAAATCAAAGAAATTGTAAAATTTTGTTTGATTTCGGGTGGATGAGGTTGGGGTTTTGTTCGTGTTTCTCCATCTAAGGTTCGTGCCTAGAGTTCAGCTGTAGTGTTTCAACCAAAGTGTAGTTTGACTCAGAGGCAAACATTCCTAGCTATTGGGCATCGAGTTAATTTGGCTTGGCATGACGGCCTTGACGATCGACTTGTTGTTATGTATGTCTGCATTTATCTGCAATTGTCGGAGGGCAAACAAAATAATAATAATAATGATAATAATAATTGACCACATAATAATAACAACAACACATGCGTGCTCAGGCCCGACGTGGTGTTAAGAACAAGAACGAACCCGCCTTTCTTTGTGGTGTGAGAACAGAGGCCCCAAAACGCGACAGCTGCAAGTAAATAAGCCCTCACGAAGGGGTGAGGGGCTACTCGCGGGGTGACCGGTGGGAAGTTAGTTGCAGATCAGCGGCGAGGAGGAGGTTCCTTTNTGCATTTATCTGCAATTGTCGGAGGGCAAACAAAATAATAATAATAATGATAATAATAATTGACCACATAATAATAACAACAACACATNTGGGCATCGAGTTAATTTGGCTTGGCATGACGGCCTTGACGATCGACTTGTTGTGTATGTCTGC